TTTTTTTGAAATATATCAATCTTTTTGACGCCATGGGATGGTTCTTGCACATCAAAGACTGATTAAGCACCTGTATATGGCATTATCTTATTTGGTGCTGTGGGTTCATGATGTTTTAGTATCATTGTGTCAATTTACTCAAACCCCTTGAACTTCCTTAAGGATTTAGGTACATTGTACATTATAGGCTGCACATTAAGCTATTGATGAGATTTACTTGATGTACTTGCACGGTTCCCTCGTATTTTCAATAAATATCCGAACTTCCAATTGCTCATTGCTCACATTTAACTTGACTTGACATGATTCCTGTTTTTATTCCTGTTTTTTTTTTTTGGAAATATATCGATCTTCTTGCTAGCATGGGATATGGTTCTTGCACATTAAAGACTGGTTAAGCACCTGTATATGCCATATCTTATTCGGTGCTGTGGGTTCATCATTCATGATGCTGTTGAGAAATATTTTATGTACTTGCGCGATTCCCATGAAACGTGAATATCAAAGGCTCTTAATTCTCGTATTCTAATAAATATCCGAACTATCACTTGCTCACATTATTTAAAATTTCCAGTCGGTGACCTAAACCACCTCATCTCTGCCACCATGAGCGGCGTCACCTGCTGCCTCCGCTTCCCGGGTCAACTCAACTCCGACCTCCGGAAACTCGCTGTCAATCTCATCCCTTTCCCTCGTCTCCACTTCTTCATGGTTGGTTTCGCCCCACTAACCTCCCGTGGGTCCCAGCAGTACCGTGCCCTAACCGTACCCGAGCTTACCCAACAAATGTGGGACGCTAAGAACATGATGTGCGCAGCCGACCCGCGCCACGGCCGCTACCTCACTGCCTCTGCCATGTTCCGTGGCAAGATGAGCACCAAAGAAGTCGATGAGCAGATGATCAATGTCCAGAACAAGAACTCTTCCTACTTTGTCGAGTGGATACCGAACAACGTGAAGTCGAGTGTTTGTGATATTCCACCCAGGGGACTCTCCATGGCCTCGACTTTCATCGGGAACTCGACTTCCATCCAGGAGATGTTTAGGCGAGTAAGCGAACAGTTTACGGCTATGTTCAGGCGCAAGGCCTTCTTGCACTGGTACACGGGCGAAGGTATGGATGAGATGGAGTTCACGGAGGCTGAGAGCAACATGAATGACCTTGTGTCTGAGTATCAGCAGTACCAGGATGCCACGGCCGATGATGATGCCGAGTACGAGGATGAGGAGTATGAGGAGGAGGATCGTATATGAGTCGATTCGTTTTTCTGTTTTCCGAATTCTCTCTCCGTAATGTGTTACGTTACTATTGTGTTTTTGTTTTTCCTGTTTGTATTTTCCGATTGGGTTATGAACAAGTTATTGGTTGTATGGTTCTGCTTTTCGGGGAGATATATGGAAAATTGATTCGGTTTTATGCGCTTTTTTACGTGGTTAGTGTAATTTTGAGTTTATATTAAAATAATTTTTAACATAAAATATTTATAGTTGATTTGACATAAAAGTAGGAAATAGATGATGTGATTAGTAGTTAAAATTATGTGAGTGACTGATGAATTAAAGTTGATATAATGTGTAAGAATGATTGATTGATATTATTTAATTATATTGATAATATTGAAAATAGTAATATTTAATTAAGAAAATAGTTGACTTAAAAATGTTTGGATTTTGTTACTTTTCTTCTACAAATGTACAATTTGGTTTTCTTTTGGTTCAAATCTTTGAATTGTGTTCTTTTCTCGACAATTTGGTTTTTCACAGAAACTGGGATAACGGGTGCGGTCCCACTGAAATGAAGCGCACCATAAGCCGAGAAAACCCATATGAAGCTCAAGTAGGTTTCTATACCAAAACTAATTGGTGGAAGGAATAGTAACTCATTAGACTTAGACATGGCCATGGGTCGGCCCCACCCGTGGGCCCGGCCCGACCCGTGACTCGGCCCGCGAACTGGCACCGGCACCGACTCAGAACCTATGAACCGGACCGTGCCCATGCGGTTTGGTCTCGGTTCTCTTTTTTTTTACCCGTCGGGCCGGGCCGGTTCTGGTTTTTCCGAGGGATCATAGTTGTTTTTTTATTTTTTATTTTTATTTTTATTTTTTTAACCCGTTGGGTCGGTTCAAATGAATCGGCCCTTAGGAATTGCTGAGCCGGTTACGGGCCCAACAATTGAGGCCCGCCGACCTGGCACCTGGCCATGTCTAATTAGACTTATAACGTGGGTCTATTTTCCATGTATGAACGATGGGGGACAACTACCAGTGATATTCTAACACGCTCCCTCACTTGTGAGTCCTTCGGAAGCCCAAGACCAACTGGGCTGAGTGACGGGTACGTCATCACACGATCACCAATAGAACCAGCTATGATACCATATAAGAAATTGGTGAGAAACGGGTGCGGTCCACTCACATGAAGCGCACCATGTAAGGAAAAACCCAGATGGAGGGGTGCTACTCCTCATTCCACCAATTGGTTTTGGGAGAATCCCACTTGAACTTCATTTGACTCTTCCCCGCTTATGGTGCGCTCCATGTTAGTGGGACAACACCCGTTTTCTCAAGTTTCTTTTAGTTTTGTTTTTAAATTGCAAATTGCTCAGTGAATATCGATATCCTCTGCATTTTTTCCATCTATCTATAGTTTGCTACTATATTTTTCCCCACATTTGTCAGAAGATTGAAAGAGGGAAAAGGCCCCATCATGTGCCTGAACTTCTTGTGCAGTGGTTTAACATTTCTTTTAACATGTTCTTAGGTGAATGTGTGACTCCATGTGCGATAGATAGAATTTTCATGTGGCATCAATGTGAATAGTCACAGTCGGCGGCTCACGACATATTGTTATTGAATTTGATCCATCATTCTTCTATAGATCTCACCCATTCCTACTTGCACCTTACACTTATTGAACTCTTCTTGCTACCCTCAATACATTTTTGTACCCTCAATACATTATTGTACACATTATTGTACGAAAGCAAACTCATTATCCAATTGAAACCCAACTAATTATCAGTACCTACCGGTGTTAACACTGAGTTTTTTAATCGTTGGATCAAATACTTACTCAACTATGATTAAACGGTGTAAAAAACTCGATCCAGAATGGTAGAATTGGCTTTTTTGGAATCGAGATTGTGTCGTAGATATGCTAAAAGAAGCATATATATTTCTTAGATTCCATTTCATGTAAAATAAAGGATTAATAATTATAGTATAATTTATGGTTATACAAATTGGTTCACTAAAAAGGATCAAACATATATGATATATATTCACATATACACTCCAATGAGACAAAAGGACAAAAATTGGGCATGGAAATCATTAGTACCAAATTTCATGTGATCAACATGCAATTTTTATTTTTATTTTTATTATTATTATTATTATTTTTTTCAAAAGACATAAAATACGTGAAGACGAAAGCCTTCTATAGTAGTATCTTTTTAGGATAAACCATAAATAGCTTTTTATTGCTTTGAGGGAGGTCTTATTGTGGGGTTGACAATGAATTTCAATTCATCTCGTTAATAGAAAGCAAAGGTATGGGGCATCTTCACATGTATTTTGGCCAAAGTTGGGAAATGTGCGCCATGTGCAAAGCAATTCCTTCACAATTAATAACATAGAAAACGATTTTTCGACTCGTAAATACGCTAGAAGTTTGTTCTTCGCATAAATTAAAACGAACATAACATTTGCAACTGGACAAAAATATCATTTTCAAATGCCGAAATGTAATATCAGATCACAATAATGCTAAAGAGACAACAGTTGGCTCCGTTACGGAGCCAACAACCAATGAGACAACTCCAAGTGGGGCTGACCCATAATACTTTAATGTGGGACAGCCCCATATGAAATTATCCAATTAGTTGTTGGCTCCATAACGGAGCCTACTGTTGGCTCCTTAGCATTACTGGATCAGATCATACCCCTTGCGTTTAGTTGATTTAGCTTCAAATCCACCCATTGTAGCCAATTTGCATAACTACGGTTGAAAACTAATTTTCGACTGCTGTATACGCTGGAAGTTTGTTCTTCGCACAATTTAACACGAACAAAACATTTCAGATTGGACCACAAATCACTATTATAATATGTTTTTACGAAAGCTGAAATGTCATATTCAAATTAAACACATTCCTTTAAGTGGATTTGCCCTCAAATTACACCTATTGCAGCTAATTCGACCCTCCCCCCTCCCCCCCCCTTTTTTTTTTCAGAATTTCCTATCTTATTTCGAATCTTAGTATATTTGTACATTTAGTTTGGTGCGAGTCAAAGTCTATGGGCTCGGGCCATAATTACGATTACAAATTACGACTACAAATGTTGCATAATTACGATTACAAACTATTTTCTGACTGCTGAATACGCTGGGAGCTTGTTCTTCATACATACACGAACATAACATTTGGAATGGACCATGAATCACTATTATAATATGTTTTTGAAAACCGAAATGTCATATTCCGGTTAAACACATTGCGATAAGTGGACTTGGTGTCTCAAATTCCACTTATTGCAGCAGATTTGACCCTCTTTTTTAAAATTTTCAGAATTTCCTATCTTATTTCGAATCTTAGCATTTTCGTACAATTAGTTCGGTGCGAGTTGAAGTCTCTAGGCTCTTACAAATATACAAAAAAAGTCGTAAGATACCAACTACAACTACACATAAGTCATGACTTTTTCTGCATTAACACTCACAATTAGGCACGCTCGCTCATGGTTTTTATAGAATCTTTGCATTAAATACGCCGTTTATTAATCGTAAAAATTGTGACTTTTACAATATAAATATATATTTTTTTCCTATTTTTCTTTTTATTGGGTTAAATTAAATAATCAATTGCTTTATTATTATTAGATGATGATTAAATCCAAAACAGCTTGTGTTACGGATCTTGCCTAAAGCCTTTTAATTTGAGCCCACATTCCTATATAAGACATCAAACTCTTTGTGACAAAGACAATAATGCAAAAATGGCTTCTTGGGTTCGTACAATAACTTCTCCTTTTAGAAAAGCTTGTACTTTCTTCAATCATAATCATCATCATCATAGGGACAAGAAGTCCCAACAAGGTACAACATTTTCCCCCTTCTTATTTCTTTGTTATTTATATCTCGTGTTTCGAAATAGGCTGAAAAATACGATGTATATCTGTTTGTGGCATTTTGCGGTTTACTTAGATTCAACTTTTATAGCTGTTTGATTGATTGATATATTCGTTGTGTTTCGAAACGAAATGCCTGAAAAATACGTGGTATATATGTTTGCGGTTTATTGCAGAACAAGAACATCGTGGAATGGACTTGCAAGGTGAAGTCATGGCTTGTGCATATGAAGATGTTCAAGTCATGTGGTCTATTTTGGACAAGTCAAAGCCAACAAACTGCACTTACACTTCCTAAGGAAAAAAGTGAGATCACCAAAAACAAAGTTAAAAATTAAAGGAAACAAAGGAGTATCTCTTACTCTTGAAATTTTGTAAATATATTGCATTGGAAGAGTTCAGAATCTTGTTTATGATGAGGCTGGCATTAATGATACTATAGAAGCCCAAAGGCAAGTTCCGGCTCGTGTAGGAGAATCGATGATCGGCCGAACGAAGAAAAATCGCGCGGGTTTTATTCGATTTGAAGTTTAGTAACTTTTTTTAAAAAAAAAAAAAAAATTGGTTGTTGTTAGTGTACTCTGGTTTGCTAATCCCTGTGATTAGAATAATGATAATCATGGTGAGATTTTATGATTTTATGTTCTCTTGGATAGTAGAATGTATGACAAAGTCTGGTTCTTGCTAAAGAATGAGCTATGGAGAAATGTGGGTCAAATTTTGGATTTGGTGTTTGTTTTGGATGAACTTGAAATTTTGACAAAGTATGAGATGTATTGGATATTAACTTTTTTTTCCCCCTATTTGGCACAATTTTTCTTTTTCGAAACCATCACTATTTTGTCGTTTCTTTTTTTTTTTAATATTATCGATATAATTAAATAATAATAAAAATTAATATTATCATTTTTCAATAAAATTTATCATCCATTTACTTAAATAGTTTTATTTTATGAATTATTTACATTTATTATTTTAATATTTATATGTCAGTCAAATTTAATCCTTACATTTTTATCTTATATCTATTTAAAAATTCAAACTTATTTTATTAGCCAATCATATTTTATGTACGATGACTAATGCTAATTAAACTAAATTATTTTTATCACTATATTTGCCTATTTTGATATTTAAATATTTTGTTCTAGAAAAATATGAAAAAAGAAAGTGACACTTTACGTCATAATATTCGTTTTGTTTAAATACATACAGTGAATCGACCCGTCTAATCGTTAGGTTGTCTCACAAGTCACAACATTATTTATTATATATTTCTAAAATATCATGCTTTTATAGAAATATAACATTTAAGAATCAATTACCAACACTGCTAATGGTTAAGCTGACACTAAGCACATAATTTTTTTTTTTTTTTTTTT